TATTCTCTGTCCATGAGTCTGTTTCTGTCCTGTATTTATGCTTTGTTGTTGTTTGTTTGTTTGTTCTTAACATTTTTTTAGATGCATGCTTAACATGGTTGGCAGTTTGTAGCTCTTTGCAGAATAACAGATTAAGGTTTATTTTACATTTGTGCTGGATATTAGAGAATAGTCATTTAAGATAGAAATGAAGATGAATGGCATTTTAAAAGAACAGAATGCACAGAAGTGCTGGACTTGCCTAGAGAACAGGAATCAGAACTCATTTCTGCTGCAGCTTAAGATTATTGGGTTGTAGTAGAAGCAGTATAGAAAATATTGTAGGGAGTGTACTTTGGACTTAAGTACTTAAAGAGGAGAGGCCTTACTTGGTTGGTTTGGGGATTTTTAAGGATACTGACAAGATTAGATCTAGAGCTGGCAAGTTTTATTGGACTGCAGAGAACAGAATATATTAGGAGTGATGTCTAAAGAAGAGGAGATGTGTGTGGAAGTTACTCTAATAGTCCAGAGGTAGAGGGCCTATGTTGAATGGTGAAAGTGGAGATGAGGGATTCAGGAGATAACTATGGAGGTACAAAGATTTAGGAAAAAGAAGAGAAGGGAGATAAAGGCAAAGATTACTGCTTTCATTCTGGATCTTACAAGGTGTTATTAATAAAAGTGCTAATAACAGGACTAAGGGAGTGGGAGGAAAGGCAGATCTGATATTTAGGATGAAGAGTTCAGGTTTGGCTGCTCCGAATTTGAGGAAAGGAGTACAGTTTGGTAAGCTATCTGTGTTGAGAGTCTTCAAGAAGTGTCCAGATTCGATGATCACTGATGAGGATTCACAGGACTCAGGATATAATTAATTGTATTCACAGCTATGATTTATTACAATGAAAAGCAAAATCATCAGAAGGAAAAGGCCCATGTTGCAAAGTCGAGAGGAAAGCAGGCACAAGCTTCCAAGAATCCTCTCCCAGTTTAATTCATGTTGAATTCATGTTTAATTCCTCTAGCCATGGATGAGGTGTTTTCAGTGGAGCTCGTTAGAGACTCGGTGCTTGGGGGTTCTGTTGGAGACCTAGCACATAGTCATCTCTGCCTAACAGGTACCAAAATTTCAGACTCCTAGAAGGAAAGCAGGTGTTAACATAAACCACAAGTTTTCATAAACATAATTAGTGAACCCCTCAGTAGTTCTGGGGATAGTGGGAACCCTCTCAAAATCCAGGTTCCCCGGATGCCAGCCAGGGGCTAGCTTTGCAAGCTGACTTGCCTAAGGATAGCAGTCAGACTTGCTATGTTAACTCCTTTCTGTACAGTACCCACTTGGAAATGTGGCACTGGAGTTCTGGAGGAATTAGGTCAGAGGTATAAAATTGTCAGTTATCCTCAAATCACAAAGTATTATAAAGGATATGGTTCTGTACTCTAGAGTTTAAATCTAGTATTTAGCATCAGATCTTCCCTGAATGACAGTTACTGAGAATTGATTTCAAATCTTTTTAAACCTATGACCCTAGTCTAGGTGTGATATGAATAGCACAAATACAGACCCAAACATACTTGGTATCTGATTTTAACCACTCTGCTTATTGGGTGGCTGGTATAATTAAATGTGTTAAAACATTGCTTCCTAATAGTTGGGGAGGACTCTCTCCCCATTTTTTTTAACCATATAGTCTTGTGTACATTAGCTTAATAAATACAGTTGACTCTTGAATAATATGGGGGTTATGAGCCCCTAATCCTTCCTGTAGTTGAAAATCTCTGAATTTGTTGAAATTACCCCTCCATATATGTGGTTCTGCATCATCAGATTCAACCAACCAGGGGCTGTGTAGTACCGTACTGTTTATCCATGGATAAGTGGACCCTTAAAAGTTTAAACTCTGGTTTTTAAGGGTCATTTGTAATTCATGGTATTTGGTTATTACATAGCTCTGCTCTTAAGTGTTTCTTTTTATTCCCCTTCAGATGAGTAGTTTGCAGATCAAGGAAGAGAAAGTCAAACCAGATACCAATGGTAAGTCACTAGTAACTATAAGCTATGTGTGTGATTCACTTTGCACTCATAGCTGCAATGTGGAAAGAAGCTTTCTTTAAGTTTTTTGGGGGTTTTTTGTTTGTTTGTTTTTTTAATGGAGGTCCTGGGGATTGAACCCAGGACCTCATGCATGCTAAGCATGCACTCTACCACTTGAGCTATATGTTCCCCGCCACCAGTTATCTTTTGATAGATACTTGGATTGGTTATATTCTATTTTTTTCTTTTTTTTCCAGCCATATTCTTTTTCTCTTGTAAACACTGCTTCGTGGAATAACGATGAACTTAATTCTTTTTACATGTATGCAAATATGTTTGTAGGATAAATTCTCCCAAAATGGATATTCCATGGTCAAAAGTATATGCATTTGCAATTTTTAGTAGTATTTTCAAGGTACCCTCCATAGTATTATATAATTTACATTTCTATCAATAAAGCGTAAGAATGTGTGCTTCCCTATAGCCTCACCACAGAATTTTTAGTCAAAACCTTGAAGTTGATCTGATAGGTGGATCAGCATTTTAATTTGTATTTCATGAGTAAGGTTGAAAATTTTCATAAGTTTAAAAGAATTTGTATTTCCTTTTCTATTGAGCTTTTTCTCTTCTAATTATGAAGAACTTCATATTTTAACTGTGATAGAAGTTTTAATACTTTTGCCAGTTTTATTTGTCTTTAGACTTTATTTCTTGTGTATTTTTGCTCTACAAACATTTTTATATAGTCAAATGTATCAGTGTTTTACATTATTGTTTCTGAAATTTGAGTCAGTTTTCATAGTTAGTCTTTGATCCTTTTGGAATTTTTCCTGGTATGCTTTGTGAGATATGGATCTAAATTGTTTTCTCTAGTGTGTTTCACCTTTTAAATTTCAAGATGGCTACAGATTTGTTTCGGTACTACTTTTGTATTAGTACATTTTTCCTCTCTAGTTTGGGATACACTTGTATAATATACTAAACTCAGCATTTTCTCATCTATCAAGTTTCTTTTGCATATTCATGTATCAGTATCATATTTCTCATTGCTGGAGCATTATGACATGCTTTAATATCTGTGAGTGCTGGTCTCCATTCATTGATCTTTTTTAGAGTTTTCTTGGCTGTTCTTGCTTATTTTCCATACATGTCCTTTTAGAATCAACTTGACTAGTTCTAAGAAGAAAAAGGATCTTTTGGTATTTCTCTTGAGACATGATACATTTATAACTTAACATCTATATGCTGTTGAGTCTTTACAGAAACCAAATGTCTTTCCATTTTTTCAAATCCCTTTTTGTGCCCTTTAGGAATATTTTAATGACTGTAGGATATATGATGTCCCCCACCTTTTTTTGTGTGTATATATATATTTTTTTGAAGTATAATCAATTTACAATTTTGTCAATTTCTGGTGCAGCATAATGCTTCAGTCATACATAATATACATTTTCATATTCTTTTTCACTGTAAGGTACTAAAGATATTGAATACAGTTCCCTGTGCTATACAGTGTGAACTTGTTGTTCTACTTCCATTTCTAAAAGTGGGAATATGTGTTCTACTCTTTTTATTGAGGAGTCTATCTAGAGGCTTATCAGTTTTTTTATCTTTTCAAAGAGCCAGCTTTTGACAATGTTAGTTTCCTTGAACATTTGTCTTTTATTTCATAGGTTTCTACTCTATTTTTTTCCTTTCTACTTACTTTGGGTTTACTTTACTCTTCTTTTCAGAGGTATTTTCTGTTGTTGTTTGTTTTTAATGGAGGTACTGGGAATTGAACCCAGGACCTTGTGCATACTAAGCAAGTGCTCTACCATGGAGCTGTATTGCCACCTGCTCTTGTAGACAGCTGACAGTTGAATCTTGCTTTTTAATCCATTCTAATAATTTCTAACTTTTAGTTAGAGTGTTTTATCTATTTACATTTAATGGAATTATTGATGTGATTGGGTTTAGGTTAACAGTTTTACTATTTGCTGTTTACTATTTTACTGTCCTGTTTGTCCCTTCATATTTTATTTCTCTGCCTCTTTTCCTGCCTTTTCAGTTAATTGAATATCTTAGAATTCCATTTTAGTTTATGGACTTTTTAGCTTTATCTCTTTGCATTATTTTATGAATGTTTTAAAGGTTTTTTCATGTAAGTCTCATATTTTTTGTTAACTTTATTTCTGGGTGCAGTATTTTATATTTCTAGGTGCTATTATAAGTAGAATCTTTTTAATTATATCTGTTTATATCTATAAAAGCCATTGATTTCTTTTTATTTTGTACATAGCTCTTTTAATCTTTTGCTGAGATATCTTATTTTGTAGTCATTTTTAAGTTGATACTCAAAGTCCTGTAAGTTTACAATCATATATTCTACAAGTGGTCATTTTACTTTCTTTTAATTTTTAATACCTTTATTTTCTTTCTCATGTCTAATCGTGTGTGCTAATACAATGCTATATTTTAAATTAGGATAAGTAAATCAGAGGTAACCTATTCTGATCACTTTAAAGTCAGCCAGGATTTCTAGAAATTTGAAATTTTCTTATGCATTAAATTTCCTAGGAATAAAAATCCATTAAACATAAAGAAATACCAACTATTTACATTTTGACCACTTAAATAAGGTTTGATATTTATATTGTCCCACCTTTTGAGTGGATTTAATATTTGCCTTTCTGATTATGACAACTGTTTTCTTGTGTAGGTGTTATCAAAGCCAATGCCACTCCAGAGAAAACAGATGAAGAAGAGAAAGGTAACTACTCTTTGAAACCCTGTAGCAAGAGATGTTATATCACCCAAGACATGCCTCTCTGGAGCCAGAGGTACTCTTAGTTATATGATCAAGGAGATGAGGGAGAATCAGCAAAGGATATTGAGAACAGTCAAGTCAGATAGAAGGAGAATCAAAAGAGAGTAGTATCCCAGAAACCAGAAGAAGGAAATGTTTCAAAAGTAGGGAATCATCTATAGGTAGGTACTAGGTTGGTTAAGAACTAAAAATTGTTCTGTTCAGTTGATTTAGAGTGTAGAAGTCATTGGTGAACTTGACAAGGGCTGTTAAGGTCAAGTGGGGAGGTTATATTTAAAGTCTATTCAGTGTACATTTCACAGGGAAGGGGAGAAGAGGAAGTGGAGCTATGAGTACAGACAGCCTTGTCAGGGAGTGTTCCACAAAGGGAAGCAGAGAATCGGGGCAGTAACTGGATCAGGATGTGGGGTAAAGGAGGAAGCAGATTTACGGTGAGAGATGTTAAAACGTGTACATGTGCTGGTGGGAATGATCCATTGGAGGGGGAATCTGATAATGCGAGAGAGAAGGTCAGTGCTGGGAGAAATGCCCTTTCAGCAAGAAGGGATGGGGCCTGTTGTACAAGTCAGGGGTTAGCCTCCAGGCACAGATGTCCAAGTTATAGGGGTGAAGGTGGAGAACACGCGTACAAACGCAGGTGGGGGTGAGGAGTGGAGTATAGAAAGGCATCTCAGCCCACTGGAGTTTAGCAGTCAGGAGTTTAAAGTGAGACCTTTTGGTGTGATTGTGTCTTTCTCACACCTTGCTGGCACCTCAGTGTGATTACAGACGTGGAGAGAGGGGTTTCACGAGGGTGAGGTTTGCCTGATGAATATGAAGATCTACTGGTTTTTTTTTCCTGACAGAGGACAGAGCTGCCCAGTCCTTACTCAACAAGCTGATCAGAAGCAACCTTGTCGATAACACCAACCAGGTGGAAGTCCTGCAGCGGGATCCAAACTCCCCGCTCTACTCAGTGAAGTCCTTTGAGGAGCTACGCCTGTGAGTGTTCGTTTCTTGGAACAGTTGTTCTTTGCCAGTCCCTACTTTATAACACTTAGCATCCGAGATCTTGTGGAAATTTACTTTCCACTTTTATTTTTCAAAAATCTTAATGTATTTACTTCTTTGACTAACCATGATTCAAAAGTTAAAAAGTATGAAAATGTTTACAGTGACGGTCTCCTTCCCACTCTTGTCTCTTGGCTACCTAGTTCTCTTCCTCTAGGTAGGGATTTTTAAATGCCACAGATTTATTCATCATAGCTGAAAGTCTTTTTTCTTTTATGCTCTTAGAACTTTCAATAAAATATTGGCTGACAGGTGATTTCTGGATGTCAGGAACATTTCTTATTAGGTAAGCCCTTTTGTTAGACTATAGGGTTTACAGTCTTAAGAACAGTTTATCTGCTTTTATAAAATCTGTCAAAAAAAAAGAAAAGCCTGTTCAGAATTCCCAATACCTACAGTGGAAAGCAGCCTTCAACGTTCCAGAATTTTTTTAAAAATTCAGAGCCCTGAATTAAGCATTAAGGGTGGAAATTTATGGCATTGTGCTAAGAATAACTTCTACTGCGTCCTTATTTTAAAGGCAGAGAATTATGAAATGTCATACCAAGCGTTTTGTTTCCTTCAGTAAGTTAGTAAAGGGGTGTTTAGGGGTCATTGGTTTAGGTACATGCCACTGTGCTGGGTGTTATGAGTAACATAAGACATAACTACCTCTTGCTGCCTGCCAGGACCAAAATCCCAGACAGAAAATAGGTGGTAAATAAGAAAGTCGTGGAATAAATGGATTCTTTGTCTTTGTTCAGCAGAATCTATCATATGCCCACTGTGGGCAAGTAGAGGCCACATTCCTTCCAACTGTTGCCACCATTGTAGAGTAAGAGACATTTAAAATAAGAGAGCTAACTAGAACCAAATCAAGTTGTTAATGAAGCAGTAGCTAAGAACAAGTTTTTTATTTTTTGGGGGGGATAATTAGGTTCTTTAATTTATTTATCTTTTTTAATAGAGGTACTGGGGATCGAACCTAGGACCTTGTGTATGCTAGGCAGGCGCTCTACCACTGAGCTACACCCTCCCGCTAAGAACAAGTTTTTTTTAAATGTGGCCTTTTCAGTGTTTTCAGGAAGTTATACTTTCCTGTGTATATTTCCTCTGTCAAGGGCTTTTTTCAGCAAACCTGCCATCTCTGCTTTTGTTCATAACTGTCAGGGCAGCTGGATGTGCTCTATTGTTTCTTGAACTGACAGTTTGCTTTTCCAAATATCAGTATTTTTTTTTAAGTTCCTTTCATTGAAAGGACTGGAGCTCTCAGACCAAGTATTGCTGAATTTTCCTCTTTGAAAAGTTAAATTCTCTCTGATTTAGTTATTAGTAGCCAAAGGAAACAAAGAATAAAACCTAAGTCACCTAATATATTTGGTCTACCTTGTACTGAAAATATTTGAATCTGCAAAATAAAAGAGAAATAATGAGCCACTGATAGCTCCTAGATCACTTGAGTCCTTGTTCAGTAGTGACTCTGTTTCCTTGGCAACCAAGTCAGAATCTATTAAGCTTCATAGCCTTTTCTTCCAAATGGAAGTACGTTACTTTTCAAAGTTCTTTGATTCTGAACCAAAGAATCAGCATATACCAGAAGAACTGCCTTTTAGGGAGTCTGTTAAATTCTATGGAAGGCTTAGAGAACAGTCTTGACTTGGTTTAATTTTTCTTTAAAAATAATCTGGTGTGATTTTTGTTAAACACCTTGTCAATTTAGATGTAGCAGAGAGCTTATTATAAATGCACTGTAAGAGCAACTTTAATTGATACTTGAGGTGTGGCTACTTAGATAAGAAGTTGTTGCTTTTCTAGTCTTGATTTTTAACCAGACATAGTGAGTAAATCTGAGCATATGTAAAGTTCAGTATAACTGAACTCCCCTTATCTGTTTACTAGAAACTGGCTGAATCAATTTTCTTACCTCTTGATTGCCCCGAGTTCTTGCGCAGCTGGCTTTGTAAGATCCATGAACACAAAATGAACTGTGGTTCAGTGGAGTATCTGCACTGAGAAATGTATAGTGAAATCCCAGTCTCTAAAGGGACTTCTGTATCTTAGCGGTATAGTAAGCAGTGTTTATTTTTTAGCTATGTCCTTTATAATTTATTTTATACTGTAAATTAATAAATAGCATTCTTGCAGTATCCAGAGAACATTTGTTATTCAAGGCCAACCAGATTTGTAGGTCTGCTGAAAGGATGAATTTTTCCAAGAAAGAAAAGAAGGAAACTAGCCTGAATTTTATAAATTGCATAATTGTTTCAGATTAAGATTTAGTATGGAAAGATGTTGGTTTTGTTTTAGATAGTATCTCTTAAGGCATAGGGAAATACGTCTGACAGATGGGAAGTACCATTCTTTGCTAGATATATGGGAAAATAAAATTCTAGGCCTTTAAAACAATTTCAACGACTAGGAATCCATCCTATCTCTCCTTGGCCTCCTAGGAAACCACAGCTTCTCCAGGGAGTCTATGCCATGGGCTTCAATCGACCATCCAAGATACAAGAGAACGCGTTACCCATGATGCTTGCTGAGCCGTAAGTATCACAGACCCCAGTGCACCTCTTAAGAATTTGGTTTAACCTCTCCCACCAAGAGCCATAGTGTTCCTGAGCACAAGATGGGCCATTGAGGGCAGCATGCTTCTTTCAGGGAAACAGCTTGGACAAGTGCAGAGAGACTCAGATGCAATTCAGTACAGTTTCTGCTTTTTCTACTTAATGAAAACTGATAGAGAAAATTGGTGCTGTTAATCTATGCAATTCTAAAAGCTGGGTTTTTAAGTTTTTGAAATTTTTGAGACCTACAAAAAGGTATCATGAGCAATAACCAGGAACATCTCTGCAACCCCATCCTGCCAAAAAGTGAAGTGTTATTAATCTAGTTGACAACTGAAGCCCCCATGTACTCCTCTCTGTTCACAGCTCTGTCTTCCACCCAAGTGAACCTCATCCTGACGTGGGTCATCATTCTCTAATTTCTTTATCCTTTTACCAAATATCTATGTGTCCCTAAGAATCTAAAGAGGAGTTTGCATATTTTTAAACCTTAGATAAATGTTATCATACTTTTTGTAGCAACTTTTTTTTTATTCAACTCTATTATTATTTCTCTTTTTTTAATGATAAAAATGCCACCTATTTCCACAACAAACGTGAAGTGAAATGTGAAAGTTCCCTCTAAAGCATCTGATTTGGTATTATAAATTTTCCATAAAGATGAGAAACAGGAGCACACAGAAGGAGCCAAGTCCTGGAGACACATATGGCTCAACAGAAAATGTCCCCGGGGACTTGTCTCAGCACAGATCTTACTCTGCAGTCTTAATTTCCATGGGCCCTTGGGGTACAAAATGAGGGCACTCTAGCTGTGCTAGAGTCTAGAGTGAGGATTTCTTAGTGTGAGCCCATCTAAAAGAATCATTATTTCCCTTAATATTTAAGCAGTTTTTTAAACAACATATAAAGAAATTATCTTTGTGCTCAGTGCAGAAAACCTGGGTAATAGGAGCATGAAGGGGGAATATCCATATTCCTACCACCCAAAAAGAACATTTGGACACTTGATTGTTTTACCTAATATTATCTTCATCTCGGTTCTCCCTTAATCCAGTCCACAAAACCTGATTGCCCAGTCTCAGTCTGGTACTGGTAAAACAGCTGCCTTCGTCCTAGCCATGCTCAGCCGAGTGGAACCAGCAGAGAGATACCCCCAGGTGAGGGCTGGGGAATCCTGGGGGCTCTGGCTTGCTTGTCCTGGGAAGGGTGGCACCATCTGGTAGGAGATTAACGAGAGTGCTCCTGGTGGAGCCTGAATGTTTCTGATGCCTCAGATTGTGGCTCAGGCAAAGCTCCGTAGCACACCAGGCCCTGACCTGGGTAGAGTTGAGTCGGAATCAGCAACCTGAAACAGTGGCTTCTGAAGGCATCCACCAAGCCAGGGCTCTCTACTGAAGGCTTCCATCTATAGCTAAGAGGTGGACCTGGTTGACAAGGATGTGGTTCCCTGTAGTGTTCAAGTGGTAATGACAGCAGTGTACTTGCTGCTTTAGAGCCTGTTGTCTGTTACTGCAAGGCTCTTCTAAACTCATCCTCTATGATCTGCCTGTCAGTGTCTGTGCCTCTCCCCAACATATGAGCTGGCGCTCCAAACAGGAAAAGTGATTGAGCAGATGGGCAAATTTCATCCAGAACTAAAGCTTGCTTATGCTGTTCGAGGCAATAAATGTGAGTATGAAGGGACAAGACCTATGCCGTGAGTCGGGGTGGGTGGCTGGATGTTTGAATTTTGAAGATGTGATGACCATATTCAACTTTCTGATTCAGTCTGATCTTGGAGCCCAGATCCACTGCTTTTAGCAAATCTATTTAAATACTTGCTGACTTGTTATTAATCCTCTCCACTCTTAAAATAAGATTTGAAGTTTTTTTTTTTTAAATCACATGGGTCATGGAGTTCTTAAAGTGTGAACTTTTCCACTGAAGAGACAGGGTTTTGGATTTGGCATCCAGAGTTCTGGAAGCTGCTTACTAGGGAGGGCTTAGCACTGAGGATGGTAGGTTGGGTCAGATCCCTTTCTCTAAAAGTTAAGCACAGCATTAGTTAAGAGTAATCTAAGAGCACAGACAGTTAACTTGGTCTTATCAAAATCAGAAATCCTTCCAACGAGTCTTTCTTCCTTGTCTGCAGTGTGTAGGGAGTGTGCGTTAGAGTAGGGGGAGGAGCAGGTAGATTAGGGGTGATAGGGAAGTTGTCAAAGTATATAAAACTACAAATCAATAAGAAAAAAGTAAACATTTTCATAGGAAAATGGACAGAAGAGTCCCAGATGAATAGATGCGTCACAAAAGAAGGAATTCAGATGGTCAGTAAATATGAAAAATTGATGAGCCTCACTAGTCATCAAGGAAGCATCAGTTGAAACCACTATATGCCTCTCAAGGGGTAGAAATGAGGGAGTCTGACACCACCAAGTGTTGGCAAGGATGTGGAAGAATTGGAACACTCATATGCTCCAGTGGGGAGTATACACTGGCACGATCACTTCAGGAAGTAGTTGGCATTACCTAGAAGAAATGGAAGAGAGACATCCCTTCCACCCAGCAGTTTAGAATTCCAAAAGTTCTTCAACTTTGTGGTCTCTTACACTGCTTTAAACATTGTTTAGGACCCCAAAGCATTTTTGTTTCTGCAGGTTATCTCTTGATTTCTGCCTTATCGGAAGCCAAAAATTGAGAAATTTTTTAAGTACTTACTTTGGAAGAAAAGAAGAAAATCTGACCTTTCAGATAATTACAGATACTCTTTTTTTTTCGATGCCTCACCAAAACTTAACAAGGGGTAATTACTTAAAAGTTAGTTGCAATGTGACATCTGAAATCATATTAATAAACTCTTGGTGCTTTTACATTAAAATTCCTTGGTCTCTCTCTTGCACTTTGAATGCATCTTTTCCCAAGAATGATTTTTTAATATCATACCTTAGTCATTTGGAAAATCCTGTCTTACTGAGTTATGCTGATCTTCCAAATGCTGACATGTTTCATTATACAAAATTTTAAATAGCATTTAAAATGCACTAATAATCACCACCAAACTCCTCAGAGGGGTTTATACATGGAGAAATGCTCAGCCTTCTTATAACTGCACCTACAGGTTTTTTCAAAATTTGAATTCTAATTTTCTCTTAAGCTTAAATGTTACCATGACAGCAAATAACAGCTGATTATTTTCATTGAAGAGACAGGCTCTCTTTGCTAATTTTCAAGAAAGTGTTTATCAGATTCCCTCCTTGATTTTCTGTAGTTTGTCAGTCAACAAATGAAAATGACTAGTGCAGTTTACCACATGAATAATCACAAATGAGCTTTTCCTGGAGAAAACCGTCATATTTCAGCATGCAGCAAGAACACTTTAACTAATAGTTATTAAGTTGGATATTTTTGTATTAATGTCTCAAACTGATGGGTGCACACAAATGTAGTGTACCAGAATCTTGTGACAACATGTATCTTCTCTAGATTGTTTTATAATAAATAGCAGGGGACTTCACTGTGTATAAAGAATTAATATATTAACTAATGTATCATTTTTTAAAAGTTCAGTTTAGACTGATGGGCAATGGACAATGAGAACCATTGTATGTAAGACTTCATTTAAAACTTTTCCAATAGATAGTTGATGACTTCCAAACTCCCCTTCTCAAATCTTAAACTTTATTTTTAAAATAAAGATACTCACATGTTTCAAAATTGAAAGGATGTATGGAAGAAACTTTTCTTTCTCTCATACCTTTCAACCACCTAGTTCTCTTTCCTAAAGGTACCTAGTACTAACTAATTCTCATGTGTCCTACAGAGATAGTCTGTGCGGCTACAGGCAAATAATCATGTGTGTGTAAATATATAACATGTACATTCACATACACGTACGTATATTATCTGTATTCTTTTTTGCCCTTTTTGGTATGCAAATTGCTCTGCAATTTTTTTTCACATTTAATAATGTATTTTGGAGATTGCTCAATATCAGTTCCTAAACAGTTTTATACTTTTATTGGTATCTTACATTGGGTGTATCATTTTGCCTGATTAGCTATGTTTTGATACATGCATATCCTTGGATATGTTACTTCACACATATTCATATACGTATAGGATTGATTCCTAATAGTGGAAGTATTGGTCAAAGGCTACAGTGCATTAGTAATTTTATACTTGGCTGTATCCCTCTACTCCCACCAGGTATAATTTGAGAGTAATGTGTGTTTTAAAGAGAATTTGTACTGAGGAAAATTATCTACACAATTACAATATCTAACAAAGCAAGAAACCATCGGGCCAAGATCCTTGGAGTCTAAACTACCAATTTATGAGGAAATTAATGAACCATGAGTGAAGGATGGTATGAAAAGGATGAGTAATGCCAGAGAGAGAGTTCGATGATGGTGAATTACAGGAGAAAGTAGGAAAAGGGAAACTAATACTTATGGAGGGTTCAGTGTGGAGGATTTAATCCCGACAGTGCAGTGAGACGGGTGTCACGATGCCCATCTTGTAGTGGAAGAACCCAGGAATTTTGGATAATACTTCTGTATATTTTGAAATCTTGAGTTAACTTGTTCTACTAGATTTGGAAGGATGGGCAAGGCTTTGATTTCTAAAGCTGGTTTAGCCATGAAAATACCCACAGACACATCTTGTCTCCGCAGTGGAAAGAGGTCAGAAGATCAGTGAGCACATTGTCATTGGCACTCCTGGGACCGTTCTGGACTGGTGCTCCAAGCTCAAGTTCATTGACCCCAAGAGGATTAAGGTGTTTGTTCTGGACGAGGCTGACGTGATGATAGCTACTCAGGGCCACCAAGATCAGAGCATCCGCATCCAGAGGTAGGGACACTTGAGGCAGGAGGAACTCTCCAGACTCCATTTTGCCCCTGCCAGGTTCTTTCCTCCACTGCTCCAGGAGCATTTGTCTGATGGGCCATTTCCGTGTCAGCATGGACCACACTCCCAGCCTGCGCTGAGGAAGGAGACTTAGGGAACTACTGGCACCCCGTCCCTGCCCTGTGTCTGCTCGCACCTCCTTCCTGCAGTGTTCGTCTCCTCTCTGCTGCCTTCCTGGGGGTGTAGGTCACCCTGGCCTGGGAGGCCGTGCTTCTGTCCCTCCCAGTGAAACATTTGGGCGGGTCATGCCGAACACCTGGGCCTTCCCTTGCAGGATGCTGCCCAGGAACTGCCAGATGCT